TTTGGGGGGTTGAGGTTTGGGGTTGGGGTTTGGGGTTTAGGTTCTTTCAGGGGTTTGGGGTTTTGGGGTTTGGAATTTGGGGTTCAGTTGTGGTTTTGGGGTTTAGGGTTTTGGGTTTAGGGTCCAGGGCTTGGGTTTTTTTCGGGGGGTCTTCATAGTTAGCGGGATGCCCTTTCTTCTACCAGGTTATTGTGGGAAAACGTAGGGGAGGGGCCTGGGCCCTGAACCCTACACCCAAAACTAAACCCTAAAGCCCAAACCCCAAACCCCACACCCCACACCCTAGAACCTAAAACCCAAATCCTAAACCCAAAACCCCAAACCCCAAACCCTAAACCCTAAACCCTAACCCTAGTGTTCGTGAAGGCCAACAGCATCAAGGAGGAGTCGAAGAAGTTCCGGGGCATGACGCAGCAGCTGAGCTTCCAGCCACTTGGGCTCTGGGCTTTTCTGAAAACAGGGCTTAGGGTTTGGGGTTTGGGGTTAAGGGGTTTAAGGTTTAGGTTTGGGGTTTAGGGCGGCCGGTTTAGGGTCCATGTCCTGGGAGTTTTAACGGTTTTGGTGTTAGTTGGATTTGTTTACATAGGATAGGGTTTGGGGTTTAAACTTAGGGTTCAGGGTCTGGGGTTTAGGGTGTGCTAGACATTGAAGGCTTTGCGGAATGTCTGGGTTTGTACAGGGTGCGTGCATAGAAAGTTGATCCCAACCCCAAAGCCTAGACCCGAACCCAAAACCTCAAACCCTAAACTCAAACCTAAACCCAACAATCCTAAACCCTAAAAACCTAAACCCTGAAACCTGTAACCCTGCAACCCGGCAACCCTTTAACCTGAGCCCTAAACAAAGCCCAGGACGATGTTGCAGAAGCCGCCTGGTTTAGAGACGGCGGTCATGGGGCTCCCTAAACTCCTTAATTCCTGAACGGTCTCTTTAGGGTTTAGGGTTTAGGGTTTAGGGTTTATTGAAATTATTCCGGGTTCAGGTTCGGGAAGTTTCGAGGAAAGTTTCGGTTTTTAAACTTTTGAATAATTTCAAGTTACAGGGGGCTTGAGGGTTTAGGGTTTAGGGTTTCATGTTGCACCAGCTTGAGTGTGCGGTCCGCCCTGAACTGTCGAATGACTTTGTCCTCTTTAGACCGTCCCGGGATTTGACATGACCCTAAACCCTAAACCCTAAACCTCAAAGGGGATGAGTAAATATGATTTTGAAAGGGACGGAGAGGCCCTTCAAGCCACTTTTTGGCGCACCGCGTTAATTTTCACACGACACCCGGAAGACTTGCTCAAATTGCGGACCTCATGTTTCTGCGGCCCGAAACAGTCACACGGTCCTGAATAGCCCGGACAACGTAACTGCATTCTGGGGGCTGAGTCCAACATTAGGGTGCAGGGTTCAGGGTTTGGGGATTAGGCCCTTGACGCCCTAAACTCCTTCAACCCGATCTGCAGGCTTCGCTTTGCAGCGCACTGTCGATTTAGGGTCTGGGGGTTCGGCTGTCTGGGCAGAGTTATCATGTCGGCTAAGCCCTTCTAAATCCTGAACCCCGAAAGAGCCCCTGTCTTTCATCGGCTAAATCGAGAACAGTCTTCAAACTCCCTTACCACACTTCCTACGACCACCGAAAGCCCTGTCCTAACCCTATCTAAGCTTCAGGGTTTAGGGTCTAGGGTTGAGGGTTGAGCCTGAAGGGTTCAGGGTTTTAGGCTGCTGCCAGTAGCCCAGAACCTCGCATCGCCCAGACTCCCTCAACGCCTGAACCCTAATCCCTAAACCCTAAACCCTCCTTGATGAAGTATGTAACGACTTCTGGGGGCGGTTGAAAAGTATCCTTGGTACCAACTTGCAGGGCTTCTGGGTGTCAGGCTTTGGTGGTTTCAGGGTTTCGGCTCGACTGGATACAGCTTGGAACCCCGAAAGCCCACTTCGCGGAAAAAAAGACACGCGCTTTAGGGTTTAGGGTTTAGGGTTTAGGGTTTAGGGGCTCCGGAGTGGGCAGCTAGGTACGGCATCTTCGTCGTCGTGGGGCTGATGGTGTTCCTGCTGATCTGCTTCAAACTTCTCAAAACGTGAGGCTGCTTAGCCCTGCCGCGCCCTGTGGCAGTCTCCCGCACAGAAGCCCTAGGACCCCTCAACCCTAAACCCCTAAACCCCTGAACCCGAAACCCTAAACCCTAAGCCCTAAACCCTAAACCCTAAACCCTAACAAGGTCCTAGTAGAACATGCCTCCATGTCTGAAGGCTTCGGCCCTTGAGGTCTCTTTCTGTTTCCGGTTGGCAAAGAGCAGAGCTACTGGTGCAACACAAATCGCTTCGGTTCAAGGGTTTAGGGGCTTAGGGGTTTAGGGGTTTAGGGGTTTAGGGGTTTAGGGGTTTAGGGGCTTAGGGGTTTAGCGGTTTAGGGGTTTAGGGGTTTAGGGGTTTAGGGGTTTAGGGGTTTAGGGGTTTAGGGGTTTAGGGGTTTAGGGGTTTAGGGGTTTACTGTTTAGGGTTAGGCCATCGACTTCAAAGCGCAATCCCCTAAAAAGGGTTACATAGGGGGAAGATAGGTTATGCCTAGTTCCCCAACTCCCCACTGAGAGCTAGATAGATGTTTCGGATTTCGATGTCTTCGCTGGGTGCTTCGTACAAGGTTGACTGCAGGGGCGCGCCTTCAGTGCGTTAACGTCGGCTCGACTTGCAGATTTGAGCCCCACCTGCACATCCGACCGATTAGGCTCGACAAAAAACCGAAGTGCGCGGAAGCCCTGAACCCTAAACCCCAAACCTTAAACCCTGAAGCCTAAAAACCCTAAACCCCAAACCCCAAACCCTAAACCCTAAACCCCAAACCCCAAACCCAAACCATAAACCCTAAACCCTAAATGAACCCGATAAACCCCAGTGCTCGAAAATAGGAGGCCAGCCCGTAGGGCTTAGAACTGGCGACTCGACAGCTTGTGTAGATCCGATTTCAACCTCCTCAGTTCGGGTTTAGGGTTTGGGGTTTGGGGTTTGGGGTTTAGGGTTTATAAGGCCCTATAAACCCTATAACAGACAAATTACCTACAGCCCTGCATAGAGCCTGTAAACCCTATAAACCCTACTACATACAAACCTAAGACCCAAAAGACCCTATGAAACCCGATAAGAAGCCTCAACGGCGGGCTCAAGTGTCGCCGCCTCACCATCAAGTCAGAAACGCTGACGTATCCATTGCTCCAGCGCATCAACCTCTCAAGACCTTCCCAAACCTCGAGAGCCTTCTGGTCTTTAGGGTTTAGGGTTTGGGGTTTAGGGTTTAGGGTTTGGGGTTTAGGGTTTAGGGTTCAGGTGGGTGATTTCTTAGTAGCTCGGTGGTGGCTTTTCTTGATGATTTTTGGGGGTTAGGGTCCTGTATCAACTCCCCTCAAAAAAGGGGTTCCCTCTCTTCCAAAAGGGTTCAGGGTTTAGGCTTTTGGGTTTAGGGCAATGTTAGCGGTTCCAATGCATCAAACTCTCAGAAGCGGACCTTCCCGCGTAGTATGCTAGAACGAGACTGCTGTGTGTAACCGCATGGGCAAGGCTTAGCAGGTTAGTATAGTGGACCAGGGCCACAGGAGCATTTGCCAACTTCGATAGCACGGCTACGTCGCGTGGCGACGTGCTGCCAGCGTACGGCCAACGGACAAACACGCCGTCAGAGCCGGCTGGTCTCGCATTTGTTACCTTATTGAGTGTGGCGCATGCCAAGGCCATCTAATGGCAAGACGTGTGGGTGGGTTGTTTCGAGAGTTCAGGGTTCAGAGTGTAGGGTAGCTACGTAGCCTAAGGGAGGCCATGGTAGAGTATTAGTACAGTATTCGATTATTCCACTACTACTATATTATACTATTCGTATAGTATTGCATTATATATTTTTCGACATCTCTCCAGCTAGGAGGATTAACCAACTTGCGGCTGCCTACAGTCGGGAACCAAAAGCGCGCTTGACACTCGCTCGTTCAAGCTTACCCCCTCCCCGTGACATTAAACCCCCCCACCCCAACCCCACCCACGCCCCGAATATGAAATACTCTGACTATAGTGACATTATACCCTAAACCCTAAACCCTAAATGCGTGCATAGTGTATTGGGGGTATTTAGTTTTTGGGCGGAGGGGACTAGGAATGCGCCTTAACGACACGCTCCGAACCCCGACCGCGGAGCCCTCCTGATAAACCCGAAGCTTTGAACCCAGATTGCTGGCCCTAAACCCCAAACCCTAAACCCCAAACCCTAAACCCTAAACCCCCAAACCCCCAAACCCCCAAACCCCAAACCCCAAACCCCAAACCCCAAACCCCAAACCCCAAACCCCAAAACCCAAACCCCAAACCCCAAACCCCAAACCCCAAACCCCAAACCCTAAACCCTAAACCCTAAACCCTCCCTTTAGAACAGACTCGGGCTCTTTGGTTCCCTGGGCGGCTGTTACCCAATGCTCCAGACAGTGCGGGAGTGGAAAGGCAGCACGAGCTCGGGTAGGTTGCGGGTTTGGGGTTTAGGGTTTAGGGTCGCCTGAGGCCCTAAACTGCCCGGAGCCGTAAGACCTAAACTGGTTGAGAAGGTGCACTCATTCCCCCACTATGATGTCAAACCACGATTTCAGGCTTCTGACGAATTGTGCGATTTGGGGTTAGGTTTAGGTGTTTAGTTTGGTGGACGGGGCATTGGCGTGAGGACGCGGGGCTCTGCTTGGGGCAGTTTGTGCTGGTGTGTTGATTTGCAACTCTGTGTTCTTGATACAGGAACTTGGATTAGACTAACATGGCAGGGCTACAACGGAAATGATTGTGTCCTTTCATCATCACAGTGCTTACTTTAGGTTCCTTAACATGCTTAACGGCAACCCAGCAGAAGGATGCCAGGTGAGCCTTAAACACTAAACCCTATACCCTATACCCTAAACCCTAAACCCTAAACCCCAAGCCCTAAAGCCTAAAGCCTAAAGCCTAAACCCTAAACCCTAAACCCTAAACCCTAAACCCTAAACCCTCACCAGGAGGCACGGTGCCTGCCAGATCAGGGGGCTGGCGCCCGAGGAGGGGTGTTAAAGGAGCTCGTCGTTGTACCCCAAAGCGCCTAGGGTTTGGGGTTTGGGGTTTAGGATTTAGGGTTTGGGGTTTAGGGTTTAGGGCTTGGGGTTTAGGGTTTAGGGTTTGGGGTTTGGGGTCTAGGGTTTGGGGTTTTGGTGGGGTTTTTGGGGGCTCAGGGTATGAGCCCGTGAGAATTAAAATGTCTAGTTCTGACGCCTGTCGCCGTGAGTTTGAAATCGGATCTTCCAGCTGCAGGTAATTCGGAAACAGCCTCCCCCTAAGCTCTAGACCCTAAGCCCTACACCCTAAGCCCGGAACCGTAAACCCCTAAACCCCTAAACCCGAAACCCTAACCCCTGAATATCAAAAAGCCCTACGCTCCCAACAGCTCCTAGATCCTAACAGCCCTTAGAAGCCCTTAAGAGCCCGTTAACAGCCCTTGAAAGGCCTAGAAGCCCTTTAAAAGCCCTTAGGAGCCCTTCAGAGCCCTTTAACAGCCCTTAGAAGCCTTCGAAATAAAAGCCCTTAGAAGCCCTTAAAAGCCCTTACGCTGCGTGCCCAGTGGAGCTTCCCATCCTTTAGCTGGCTGGTCGACCAGGGGGAGCGAGGCAGCTTTTGGTGAGGGCTTTGGTTCAGGACTTGGGAGGGTTGCGGGCTTAGGGTTTTTAGGAGGGTTTAGGGTTGGGAGGGTTCAGGCCTAGGTTTCAGGTTAGGAGGGTTTAGGGCTTGGGGTTAGGAGGGTTTAGGGCTTATAGAGGGTTACGAGGGTCGACGAGGGTTTAGGGCTTAGGTTAGGAGGGTTAGGAGGGTTAGGGTTTAGGCGTAGGGTTTAGTTTTGAGGGTTCCCTCGCACTTTAGGGTTTTAGGGTTGTTTTTTCAGGGCTCTAAGGCCTCCCAAAAAGTTTCTCTTACCTCACAGCCCCTCTTATATCTGACATGGTTTAGGGTTTAGGGTCCCTTCCGAGCTACTAGTTGCAGCACAGGCCCTTCTGTGTTCCAAGCCAGATATTGATTCCCCCCCCCCCCCCCCCCCCCTGTGCGCGGGTAGATGCACCTGCAGCCCTTCGGGTTTAGGGTTTAGGGTTTGCGGTTCAGGGTTTAGGGTTTAGGGATTAGGGTTCAGGGTTCAGGGTTCAGGGTTTTCGGATTGGGGTGCCGAGTGTCTTCCGCGTACATTGTTCGTGGTGCTTAGGAGGATGCTGGAGGATCCCTGCCGGCCATGCAGAATGCAGGGTTTAGGGTTTAGGGTTTAGGGTTTAGGGTTCAGGGTTCAGGGTTCGGGGTTGGGACAACATGAGATGAGATTCGATTGCTCCGCAAAGTGGATCGCCGATGCTGCAGGGCTGCTTAGCGTAGCTTTGGGGCTGCCAGGGGCCTGTACTAAACCTGCCCCCGGGATGATTGATCTAAATAGTGGGCCCCTTTCGTACCCTAAACCCTAGACCCGAAACCCCAGAAAAACCCTTAAGCCTAAACCCTGGTACCCTAGGCGTTAAGGGAGATATAGTTGACAATCAAGACAGTGCTTTTAATTTCCTCCGCTGGTTGCCACGCCCCGGGCCCCGCGAACCAGCCCGCCGCAGAATCTTCAACTTTGAAGCCATAGCCCCCCAAGCTTCCCAATTCAGGGATGGGGCTCTGCTTCGAGACTCGCAAACATGCTTGTGGGCTACTGTTATGAAGCTTCGTAGAGTTACGAAGCTTCTGGGTTCAACAAAGGCAGATCTCCACAGTCTTTAGACTTGGTGGCCCTGTTGTGCCCCTTTACTTTTTCTTTGGCTCCACATTCCCCTGTAAAGTAGCCAACCCCAAACAAGGTGCCTTATCATAATATGGTTCCTGGCCCTAAACCCTAAACCCTAAACTCTAAACCTTAAACCCTTAACCCTAAGCCCATATAACTTATAAACCCTAAGCCCTCCTTACTGTGTAATCTGGTTTCTGGCCTAACCCTAAACCCTAAACCCTAAACCCTTAACCCTAAACCCTACACCCTAAACCCTAAACCGGAGAGTCGACACAGGCGTTTATTGCACCGACGAGGAGCTTCGCCTCATGCTGCAGGGCCGCAAGGTTCCTTTAGGGTCGGGGGCTTGGGGGTTTAGGGTTTAGGGTTTAGGGTTTAGGGTTTAGGGTTTAGGGTTTAGGGTTGGGGGTTTAGGGTTTAGGGTTGGAGGTTTATGGTTTGGGGTTTAGGGTTTAGGGTTTAGGGTCGGGGTCGTCAGCCCGAAACCCTCAAACCTAAACCCTAAACCCTCTTACGACCCTAACCCTAAACCCGAAACCGTAAACCCCCAAAGCCTAGGGTTTAGGGTTTAGGGTTCAGGGTTCAGGGTTTAGGGTTTAGGGGGCCTATAACCCAGTTTTGGCCCTGCCGTGCTTTTGGGAAGTGCCCCCCCCCCCCCCCCCCCCGCAAGTTCGTGCATGGAGCTTTGCAGCACGAGCTTGGGCTTGCGAGGGTCTCGCCATCTTCCTCGAAAAATTGGCTTTGAAAGGTTTAGGGTTTAGGGTTAGGGTTTCGGGTTTGGGGTTTAGGGTTTAGGGTTTAGAGTTTGGGGTTTGGGGTTTCTGCTAGAATGCCCAGTAGCAACCTTACTCCGTTTTTGTGGGGCGTCAGAACTTCATAAGCTCCTTTGAGCCAAAACGGTACCAGAGGGTACCTTTTTATGCTCACGTTCCTGGAAAACTTAGCCAGCGTAACGATTTTGAGTTGTACTTTATGCCGACAGACCCCTCAACCCCCAAACCGCCAAACCCCTAAACCCCTAAACCCCTAAGCCCCTAAACCCCTAAATCCCTAAACGCCTAAACCCCTGAACCCCTAAACCCCTAAACCCTAAACTCAGCCACTGGTGCATCCTAGCTTCCCCTCACTGGTACCGATCTTTCCAGAGTTTGATCCCGCGAAAGAGCTTGGGGGGATATGAGGTGCCTATTTCCCCGTTCCCTAGGAAGAACCCCTAAACCCCTCAACCGCCAAACCCCTAAACCCCTAAACCCCTAAACCCCTAAACCCCTAAACCCCTAAACCCCTAAACCCCTAAACCCCTCAACCCCTCAACCCCTCAACCCCTCAACCCCTCAACCCCTCAACCCCTAAACCCCTAAACCCCTAAACCCTAAACCCCAAAAAAGAATCCCCGGCCAGGTCTCAAATCCACTGCCCCCAGCACCGGCCGACGGTTTCTGGGCATTGGGCTTAGGAAGTGTTGGTTTAGGGTTTAGGGTTTAGGGTTTAGGGTTTAGGGTTTAGGGTTTAGGGTTTAGGGTTTTGGTTGGGATTTCAGGAGAGCCTTTCGAGCTCCGGGTTTCAGGGTGTAGGGTTGGGGGGTTCAGGGACTACATGGGGCATTGGGATTGGCGAACAGGCTGCGGTTTTTGTGGGATGGTAGGCTCTAACCTATCGTGGTGTAGGGTTCCCCAAAACCCGAAGCCCTAAGCCCTAAACCCTAAACCCTAAACCCTAAACCCTCTGCTTATTGCAGGTCGTCGGATGCCTGATGAGACCCTCCCTGCGGCCAGTCCTCAAAACAGAAAAGCCTAGTTTAGGGTTTAGGGTTTAGGGTTTATAGAAATTGTATAGGGTTTGGGTCCGGAGTTTTGACCGCATTTTGTGCGGTTTTGTTTTTTGCTTTTGGTTCAAAAAAGCTGAAAAACACTGGCTTTTTCAGCCTTTTTTCAAGCCTTCGAAAAAACGCTCTCCAGAGTTTCGAGCGGGCGCAACCTAAGGAAAATCCCTATGTTTTTGCTCGAATTCGGGGTTTTTGAAGACCCAAAATGGCAAAACATCGCTAAAATCAGCCATTGTGGGGCTGCAAACCTTTTGGCCTTAATTCAGGGCCTGTGCAGGCTCGATTCGCAAAAAATGCCATTTTGGGTGGTTTCCAAGGCCGCCAACCTAAGGAAAATCCCTATGTTTTGGCCTTAACTCAGGGTTTTTGAAGGCCCAAATGGTCAAAAATCGCAAAAATTTGCCATTTTGGTGGTCTCCAGGCTGCCAAACTAGGGCCAAACTGGTCAAACATCACAAAAATGTGCCATTTTGATGGTTTCCAAGGCCGCCAACCTAAGGAAATCCCTATGTTTTTGCATTATTTCCTTGTTTCCGGGTTTTTGAAAGCCCAAAATGGTCAAAAATCGCCAAAATTGGTAATTTTGTGGCTGCCAACCTAAGGAAAATCCCTATGTTTTGCCTTAATTCCGGGTTTTTGAAGGCCCAAAATGGTCAAAAATCACGAAAATTTGCCACTTGGGTGTTTCCAAGGCTGCCAATCTAGGGAAAATCCTTATGTTTTGGCCTGAATTCAAGGTTTGTGAAGGCTCAAATGGACAACAGTTTGCCATTTGTGTGGTTTGCAAAATCCTTATCTTTTGTCCTTAAAACAGGGCCTGCGAAGGCGCACCATTGTGCTTGGTGAGGCTATACAATTTCCATTTATACAGGTCTTGAGGGTTTAGGGTTTAGGGTTTAGGGTTTAGGGTTTAGGGTTTAGAGTTTAGGGTTTAGGATTTAGGGCTTAGGGTTTGTAGGCTTTAAGGTTGGGGTCTGAACCCCAGACCCCCAACACCTTGAAGCCACAAGCCTCCTGGAAGCAACCCAAACCCCTAAACCCTAAACCCAATAAGGGCCTAGCAACCCTAAACCCTAAACCCTGAACCCTGAACCCTGAACCCCAACAGAAGTTGCCCAGGGCCCCGCGGCCGCCCCTCCAGGTCCTCCTGGTCTGGAGGCCTCCATGGCAGGGTTGAGGGTTTAGGGTTTAGGGTTTAGGGTTTAGGGTTTAGGGTTTAGGGTTTAGGGTTTAGGGTTTTGTAGGGGGCTCTTGTTGGGGTATCTTAGGGTATCCAGCGGCTGTATTGAGGTATAAGGGTAACAGATAAAGAGGCCATGGCAAGGTCTGCGGATTTTTCAGGCCATGGGGTTTAGGGTTTCGGGTTTAGGGTCTAGGGTATTAGGGTTCAGGGTTTAGGGCAAGGGTTTTTGGTTTAGGGCTTAGGGTTTGAGGGTTCGGGTTTAGGGCTTAGGGTTTTAGGGCTTTAGGGTTTGCAGTTTTTTGGGTTTAGGGTTTTAGGGTTTAGGGTTTCAGGGTATTAAGGTTTAGAGTTTAGGGCCGTTGAGGAGCAGGGTTTCGGGTTTCGGGCTTAGGGTTTAGGGTTTTATTGTTTAGGGTTTAGGGTCCAAAGCCCTAAACACTGAGTATGTTTTGCTTGGTATTTCACTTTACCCAGCTGCGGGACCGTGGGTGCAGCTTTAAGTTAGGGTTTAGGGTTTAGGGTTTAGGGTTTAGGGTTTAGGGTTTAGGGTTTAGGGTTTAGGGTTTAGGGTTTAGGGCTTAGGGTTTAGGGTTTAGGGTTGGGCTCGGGGGGGGATAGCTACAATTGGGGTTCGACGTCCCCTGAACAGGGTTGTAGTGCAGGTGGTTCTTAATCAATGCCCGAACCTCCAACTTTTGGTATGTTCTGGCGGTCAGGACAACCATCGACCCCCACCTACTGACCCAACCACTGCCAAAATTAGTTTACTTCGAACATCCCCACCCTCTCTTGGTGGAGATACTCTGGGGTTGGGCACTCCAGCAACACTCTGGGGCTGGGCACTCGAGGGAGACTGTGGGGTTGGGCTCCAGGGAGAGGGCACTCTAGGGAGACTTTGGGACAGTGGGGTGGGAGACTCTGGGGCACTCCGGGGACACTCCAGAGTTGGGCATAGGGAGACTCTGGGTTGGGCTGGGGTTCCCTGGCACTCCAGGGACACTCCAGAGTTGGGCACTCCCGGAACACTTTGGGGTTGGGCAATTCAGGGATGAGCGAGGAGTAGACCGGGCGAGGAGAAGAATTCCGGGCGAGGAGAAGAGTGGAGTTTAAAATCTAACAACCCCACATCGAGGGTGGGGAAAAACAACAAAGATCCGAAACCTTCGCGGCCTACACTCTGCTCGACTTTGCCTAGGATTTAGGGTTTACGGTTTTGGGTTTCCGAAACCCTAAACCCTGAACCCATTAACCCTCCAACCCCAAATTTTCGACGCCAAAGAATCAGCATTTCATCACCTCAGGAAAGCATTGCTCGGCCCTGAAAGCCCTACCACCACCCACCCACCCGTCCAAGCGCCACAAACCCTAAACCCTAAACCCCATAAAACCCTAGACCCTAAACCCTAAGCCCTAGGGGTTCGGGTGTAGGGCTTAGGGTTCAGGGCTTAGGTCTGCAAGCCTCGAAAGTAAACCCTCCACCCTGAACCTGACACCCTAAGCGACCTAAACCCTCAGGCCTCAACCTTAAACCCAAGAGGGTTTAGGGTTTAGGGTCTGGGGTTTAGGGTTTAGGGGTTTTGGTTTAGGGTTTAGGGTTTAGGGTTTAGGTTCTCCAAGTTTCGTGGGCCTTTGGTGTGGTTCCTTGCCCTCTTTCATGGGTTCTGATGTGTGGGCCCTGGAGGTTGTGGTCTTGAAGGGGTCCCCTTTTAAGTGCCCAGATTAAGGGACCATGCAGCTACGCTTACAGAATCGAACTAGGCCCAAGAGCAACTTAGGAAAAAAGGGGTTTAGGGTTCATTCAGGGTTTAGGGTTTAGGGTTCAGGGTTCAGGGTTTAGGGTTTAGGGGTGTCGGGCCCTTGGAAGTGGGGTTTAGGGGTGACCCAAGGGACCATGTAACTACCCTAAGAAACCTGAGCTCCTTGCCCAGCCCCCGGATCGCCAGCAGCTCAAGGAGAGCGTGCAAGAGTCTCAGAGACACCTCGGGGAGGGGGGGGGGGGTTTAGGTTTAGGGGGGGTTAGGGTTTGGGGTTTGGGGGTTCAAGGGTTTAGGGTTTGGGGGGTTAGTTTAGTTTAGGTTTTAGGGGTGGGGGATTACAGACCCAGTTACGTAGGGGGGAGGGGCGAAACCCTCAACCCTCAGCCTAAAAATGCGTAGGGCATAGGGTTCGGGCTGGGGGAGCGAGCCATCTGGGTCGATCCTTGCAGAAGGTTCGGGTGTAGGGTTTGGGGTCTAGGGTTTCGTGTTTAGGGCTTGGGGTTGAGGGTTTTTGGGCTTGGGGTGTGGAAGCAAGTCGGAGGCCTAGATTTAGAGAGTGCCGGTCGGCTGACATTGCAACCCAAACCCTAAACTTGGGTCAAGAGGCCAAGGCAAAACCCGCATTTGCCGGCAGCCTTTATGGGCTAATTTAGGACACTTGCTCAAGAAATGCTTGTAATTAAACTCGGTGGCGGGATATTGTATACTTTCCTTAAACCTTGTTGGGTTTAATCTTGGTAGCCTAGTGGTACCCTTTCCCCTTTTTTGTTCAAGGTCCCCTTATACGGTAACCAGCCCCAAACAGATTGCCCTTAGTAAGATATGGCTACTGGGCTACCAAGATTTTCCTTTATTGGCTTTAATAGGACCTTGGGCAGGCTCTTAAAATTCTCCCTTATCTGGCTGGTTCTTGGTAGGGGATGAGAGAATGAGGGACCCTATATATACTCTTTAAGGGATGATACAGGGCCCTCATTCCCTCATTCCCTACTAAGAACCAGGAGACTAGGCCTTACGTAATAGGTGGGCCCTTAAAATTCTCTCTTATTGGGCTTGTGAACATGATGTTCAGGAATATTTGTTCAGAGGGTCTCACGGGCCATCATGGCCTAGGAGTCGTTTTCAAAGGGTTGCCAGGGCCGACCCAAAACCCTAAACCCTAGACCCTAAACCCTAAACCCTAAACCCTAAACCCTAAACCTAGTACAGGGGGAGCTATGGCTTGGCTCAGCACCCGTGGAGCTTCTTCGTCAGGTTCTGCATGTTCGACTCGGACCGCGATCGCCGACTAGGCGGGCGGTTAGGGTTTAGGGTTTCGGGTTTAGGGTTTAGGGTTTTGGGTTTAGGGTTTAGGGTTTAGGTTTAGGGTTTAGGGTTTAGGGTTTAGGGTTGAGGGTTTAGGGTTTAGGGTTTAGGGTTTAGGCTTAGGGTTTAGGGTTTAGGGTTTAGGGTTTAGGGTTTACCCTTTTTGCCTTCTCTTGCTTCAGGGGTCGGGTTCCCGTTATCAACAAACAAGGGTTTCCAAGAGCATCCCAAACCCTAATTAGACCCTAAGCCTTAAAGCCTCTAATCGGTGATTCTGGAGACTCCTACGTATTGCAGTTTGTCTCTTAAAGCTGCCCTAGCATTTCTGATGAACTGGTTGCCTTGTATAAGGTGAGTTGTCTGGTGCCGCTGCTGAACCCTAAAACCCTACAGACCCCAAAAGTCCTAGCAACCATCAAAAAGCCCTAAAAACCGCTAAAGAACAACCAAAACCCTAGCATCGGTTCAGTTGATGCCTAGCAACCAAACTTCGAGCCCCCCTAACCTCCTTGTAGCCTTGTTTTTGGTTCTAGATTCCCATATAAAGTAACCGACCCCCCAAAAAGGGTCCCCATCTTAGAATATGGTTACTGGCCCTAAACCCTAAACTTTAAGTTCTAAACCCTAAACCCTAAACTTTAAACCCTAAACCCTCTCTACCAAGCTTCGGTGCTTACCCGGTTTAGGGTTTTGGGTCTAGCGTCCTGCAAGTACGAGTCGTGATGTGGGTTCGGGTTCTCATGGTGGATTTCGGTAGTGTGCATATGTAGTGTAGATCGACACACATACGTACGCTTCTGGGTTAGCCCCCCCCCCCCCCCCCGCCGCTTGAGTATGGGGTTTACGGGTTCCTCGGATGGGCCCAGGGTTTCATGCGGGTTTGAGGGTGCCGAGGTTTCGATGGCCTACGCCCTAAACCCCAAACCCTAAGCCGGAAACCCTAAACCCTAAACCCTAAACCCTAAACCCTAAACCCTAAACCCTAAACCCTAAACCCTAAACCCTAAACCCTAAACACTAAACACTAAACACTAAACCCTAACCAAAGAGGCTGCGAGGAGCTCTGGGCTTTCGCTCAGCTCAGCCCCGACTTCGGGTGCAGCGAGGACGAGTGGGACGAGGCCATGAGTTCTTTTGCATTTTTAGATTAAGGGTTAGGGTTTAGGGTTTAGGGTTTGGCGTTTAGGTTTTATGTAATACAAAAACCCTACTAGGGTTTAGGGTCTCTTGCTTCTTGAAGGGGGGTTTCCGAATTAGGGGTACCTTATTGGGGGGGGGGGGTGCCTTCGCCCTCCCTGACCCCCTTCCGGTCCCCCCTGGTTCCCGGCCCCCTGGCCCTCTGGCGCGCTTGGCCCGACCCCGCGCTTCGAGAACTGAATAAGTCTTTAGAAGTGGGCTGTTGTCTGAGTTTAGGCCCAAACCCTAGAAGGAATAGGTTTGGGTGGCTTTGCCGCCTTGGACGGCGTGGGGTGGGAGAAAAGTGTTAGATGGCCCTCCACAATCGGGCCAAAGCTGCTCTTCGCACCTCACGAAGCTTTCGAGCTGGGTCCGAAACCTAACCTGCACAGCATCTACGCCCTATCACAGCAAACCCTAAACCCTAAACCCTCAACCCTCAACCCTCAACCCTCAACCCTCAACCCGCAACCCGCAACCCTGAACCCTGAACCCTGAACCCTGAACCCTGAACCCTGAACCCTGAACCCTGAACCCTGAACCCTGAACCCTGAACCCTGAACCCTGAACCCTGCACCCAACCCCTAGATCCTGCACAGGCCTTTGCCGAACTCTGCGACGACTACGGCTGCATCCCGACGGAAGGCCCCGGTGAAGGGAAGCCCTAGGGCTTTTACGGTTTAGGGTTTGGGGTTTGGGGTTTGGGTTTTAGGCTTGGCTCGCATCTACATCTCCCATTGCCCACCGTGAGGGCGTTCAGAATGTCGGGGCTCATGGGGGTCATGAAGGGATGGAACCCAAACTTTAAACCCGAAATCCTAAACCATTACTGTCGGCCTGCCCATAGGGTTTTCTTCGGGTGCAGGGAATGAAAGGAGGTGAGTTTGATTATGTTTTGTTGCGCTTATTCCTGTTCCTTCACTCACTACCAACCTGCTGCAGGGTGAGGACCTGCCCCGAACACAGACTCATGTTTAAACAATTGTTTGAATTCATGTTTTGGTCTCAAACTCCACTCCGCTTCTATGTCGTCACTCAAATTGAGATTGTGGCTCAGGGGGGCTGGGGCGGGGGGGGGGGTGTAGGGTTTGGGGTTTAGGGATTGGGGCGGGGGGAGGCGCATTTCAAAGAGTTCAGACAGCGTATTCCAGGCCTGAGCTTAATGCCCCAGTGCTATGAGCAAGCATCGGAGAAAGCAAGTTGAACCTTCCATGGGTCTTTGAGGATTCCCCAATGCAACCAAATACCCTCATCCCCCAAAACCGCTCCCCTACGCCCGAGCCTAATAAACCCCGAACCCTAAACCCATAACCCCCAAAAACCAAAACCCCTTGAACCCCCTTAACCTTCCTAAACCTTGCTAAGCCGTAAACTCCCTAAACCTTACCTCCCCAAGCCTTAAGCCCTAAACCGTTTATATAAACCCTCTACCCTCTGAACCCCTTAAGTCCTCAACCCTAAACCCTCTATGTAAACCCTCGACGTCGGACGCTTTAGACTCTACACCCCCTACCCCAAACCCTAAACCCCAAACACCAAACCCCCAACCCCAAACCCTAACCCCAAATTTAAGAGCCTCCGGCTCAAGCCGCCGACCCCGCTGGAGCATAGTTGAGAGGTCTAAACCCGCTCGCATGGTTCGAAGATCATCCCAGCCTGCTCGGCAGAGTTCTGTGAAACGTTTGGGGGGGGGTAGGGGTTAGCACCAGAACAACCTCAAGCAGGGGGTGGGGGTGGGGGGGGGGGGGGTAGGGGGGGGGTGGGGGGCGGGGGGGGGGGGGGGGGGGTGGTGGGGTGGGGGTGGGGGGGGTGGGGGTTGGGGTGGTGGGGTGGGGGTGGGGGGGGGGGTGGTGGGGGTGGGGGGGTGCCGAAAACGCTGATTTTGCTCCCATCCAACACGCCGCCAGTAGCCCTAAACCCCAACCCTAAACCCCAAACCCTAAACCCCAAACCCCTAACCCCCTAACCCCAATCCCCAAACCCTAAACCTTAAACCCCAAACCCTACTGCAGCGGTCCTTGGCTCTGGGGGCGCAGTGGTGGTCGATGTTGGGCATGATGCGGTTCGTGAAGGGTTTAGGGTTTATTTAGGGTTTAGGGTGTAGGTTTGAGGGTTTAGGTTTCAGGGTTTAGGGTTTAGGGTTTAGGGTTCAGAGTTTAGGGTGAGCGTGCAGATGCTTCTGGGTCGTCCTCGGGGAGTTCGTCGAGTTCGCAACAGTTCTTTCACTGACTGGGGGGACTGTTAAGTCGCGCTTGGGAAAGTGATCCCAGCCGAGAAAAAACCTAACCCCAGTCCCCAAGCCTTAAACCCCAAACCCTAAACCCTAAACCCCAAACCCCAAACCCTTCACCCGAAACCCCGCACCCTCAACCCCAAACCTCAAACCCTAAGCCTAAACCCCAATCCTTAAACCCCAAACCCCAAACCCCAAACTCCAAACCCTACACCCCAAACACCCCAGGCCTCAGCAAGGAGGCCTTCTTCGCGCTGGTGGATGACGAGTCGGATCGGGCATCCTGGCCTGAAGGGGGCTCAGGGGGGTTAGGGTTTAGGTTTTTGTGGGGGTTTAGGGTTTAGGGTTTAGGGTTTAGGGTTTAGGGCTAGGGTTTGGGTACTTTTAGGCTTGAAGTCTTGCCGGAGGTCCAGCTTGAGGGCACTGGCTCTCCTGCCCTCCTTGTTGCTTTCTCCGCCCCAATCCCTAAACCCTAAACCCTAAACCCTAAACCCTAAACCCTAAACCCTAAACCCTAAACCCTAAACCTGTTTAAGCCAAAAAGGGTGCCCTTCCTATTCTTAGGTTACTCCTGCGGGTCTAGGTAAATGTTCCGTGTCTAATATCATGTTTGAGAGGAATGTGGCTTGTCTGAAGCACTACCAATGATTTCAACACCAAGACTGTAGGATACCACGACGATGACGCTGCTGATGCTGATGAAATCTGTAAACCCCAAGCCCTGCGACGATGATGATGATGATGATGATGATGATGATGATGATGATGATGATGATGATGATGATTATGATGATTATGATGATTATGATGATTAGGGTTTGGGTTTCAGAACCTAAGGGTACCAGACTCCCAATGCCGGAAGAGTCTAGTTCTAGCAGCGCTTCAGGGACGACGTCAGGGTTTCCGAGTTCACGGGGCGTAGGATTTAGGGTGCAGAGCTTAGGGGGTTTGGGGGTTTAGGGGTTCAGAGTTTGGGGTTTAGGGTTTTGGGGTTTTAGGTTGAGGTTTGCGGGGTTTATGAAGTACACCTGTACAGCCCAACCCTAAACCCTAAACCCTAAACCCTAAACCCTAAACCCTAAACCCTAAACCCTAAACCCTAAATGCAAGGGGTTCTGCAACGCAAGGGCTGCTACTGCACGGAGAACCAGCTGCAAGCGATGTTGCTGCACGGAGCTTCAGCCCTGGGCTTGGAATCAGAAGGGTTTAGGGTTTAGGGTTTAGGGTTTAGGGTTTAGGGTTTAGGGTTTAGGGTTTAGGGTTTAGGGTTTAGGGTTTAGGGTTTAGGGCTTGCAGATTTTTTGGGGGATTTTAGGGTCTAGGTTTAGAGTTCAGGGGGGAACCCTATAACTACCCATTTTGGCGGGATTTTGGGGTTTTGTGTTCAGGGCTGTTTCAAGTTTAGGCAACCCGATACTCAAAGCCCGAAATCTTGGGTTGCTTGCTTTCGCAACGTGTGCTTTGGCTCAGCAATCGCTTGGGCCTCTCCGTGACTCGTCTTTGGGCGGTCAACAGGGGTCCCTCATAAGCCGGTTTAGGGTTTAGGGTTTGGGGTTTAGGGTTTAGGGTTTAGGGTTTGGGGTTTAGGGTTTAGGGTTTAGGGTTTAGGTGCCCTTCTTAGGGAGTTTCCGGCTGCGGCTGCGAGGCGACGAAGCCCAGCAGAAGACTGTCGACGGGCAGCCATGATATGCAGCCCTACCCTAAGTCCTAAGCATGTAGAAGCATTCCCTTCAACCCTTAAACCCTTAAGCCCTTCAAGCCTTAAGCTCTTAAGCCCTTCAACCCTTAAGCCCTTCAACCCTTAAGCCCTTCAACCCTTCAACCCTCAAAGCCTTAAACCCTCAACCCTCACGCTTCCCAGGCTCCGGCACGGCAGCTGGCAGGCACCCTAGGGTTCATACGGGGTTTACGGCTGTGCTTTAGGGCTTAGGGTTTAGGGTTTTAGGGTTTAGGGTTTAGGGTTTTAGGGTTTAGGGTTTAGGGTTTAGGGTTTTAGGGTTTGTTTGCCATCGAACACCCCAGGCCCTAACCCTAGACGCTCTAAACCATAGACCCTATAAGCCCTAAACCATAATCCCCTAAACCCCTTGATCCCTAAACCCTAAACCCAAGTTGACCCTGCTCCCGGAGCCCAGGGTGTGGACGTGCCGGTGTCAGGGTTAAATGTCTTATATAAGGGTTGGCCTGGTAGGATGACATTGTTTTCACACCCCGGGTGGTTGAGGGCCTTTGCACATATCTGGCAGTGAACCCGGAACCCCTCCATCCAGCCGTCTTGGCGGATCTCCTTTTCCTCGCCGAAGATGTAAGCCTTAACCCCCAAACGCCTAGCCCTAAACCCTAAACCCCAGCCCCCAAACCCTCCCAAACCCTCAAGCCCTCAACCCTAAACCCTAGCCCTCAAGCCCTAAACCCCAAACTCTAAACCCCAAAACCCTGTCTTCTGGACTTTCTGTTGAACTCGGAAGCGGGGATTCGGGGGAGAGGTCGCCCTCGGAGCAAAGGCCAGCGCTGCGAGCTTTAGGGCTTGGCATTTAGGGCTTAGGGTTTAGGGATTGGGTTTAGGGTTTAGAGTTTCGGGCTTAGGGTTCAGGGCCGTTGAGGAGTGGGGGTCAGGGTTGAGGGTTGAGGGTTTCGGGTCCATTTAGGGCTGAGGGTCTGTGGTCTAGGTCTTAGGGGCTTCGGGCTTAAAGTGCTGGTTAGGGACCAGTGTTATCAGGGGCGAGGAGCCTTCGGCTCAAGCCACCGACCCGAAAGGGTTTAGGGTTTAGGGTTTAGGGTTTAGGGTTTAGGGTTTAGTGTTTAGGGTTTAGGGTTTAGGGTTTAGGGTTTAGGGTTTAGGGTTTAGGGTCTTAGTAACCTTCTGGCCTTCCTGCGGTACAACCCGAAACCGTAAACCCTGAACCAAGCTGCGTAGCAGAATCTTTGTAGGTTCCGATTATTTGGAGGTGTCTTATGGTTCTTTTGGGGGTTGTTAGGACTCAGAATGAGGGTTTGAGGTTTAGGGTTTAGGGTTTAGGGTTCAGGGTTCAGTTTTCAGGGTTCAGGGTTTAGGGTTTAGGGTTTAGGGTTTAGGGAGCTGAGGAACTCCAGGGATGTTGCTTACCACCACCGGTACGATTCAATGTAGAAGATAAAATTGGCTTCCGCTGAAAGAAGTTAGGGCTTAGGACCCAACGACAGGGCGCCGTGTCTTCTTCTCCTTCTTCTTGGGTGCTGAAGGGTTTTCGGGTTTAGGGTTTAGGTTTTAGGGTTTAGGGTTTAGGGTTTAGGGTTTAGGGTTTAGGGTTTAGGGGAAGTTCAAGTATGCGAAAGGGCCCCCGACCTCCTAGCCCTGACTTCTCACTGCCCAACCCAAGTTCCTCAAGCACTTCACGCCCTTTGACCCTCAACTTGAGACCCGGAATTTAGGGATTAGGGCTTTAGGGTTTAGGGTGTAGGGTTTAGGGTTTAGAATCCTAAAGCCTAAAGTCCCAAGCTTCAGACCTCTCCCTTCAAGCCCCCCCCACACAGGGAACCTCACGGAAGCCGCGCCTCCCCAGGCGAGAGCAGCAAGGGCAAGGGAGCCAGCAAGGGAGCCAAGGGCAAAGATCCGTTTGACGAAGCAGGATGGCCCTAAACCCTAAACCCTAACCGGAATCCCTAAGCCCCAAGCCCCAAACCCCAATCCCTACACAACCCCAAACCCTAAACCCTAAACCCTAAACCCTAAACCCTAAACCCTAAACCCTAAACCCTAAACCCTAAACCCTAAACCCATTAGGGCGGGACTTCGGGGAGGGTCTACAGGGCTTGACAGGCTCATCTCATCACCAAGCACGCAATCGAAGCCTCAAGCCCTCTACACCCCAAACCCCAAACCCACATTCGGAAGCAAACCATAGCCGTAAGGCCCCCCGGGCCCAGAACTGGGGTTGACTTGGAGTTTTGTCTACCGTCCTGTGTGGGCCAACCCTAAACCCTAAACCCTAAACCCTAAACCCTAAACCGTGGCTCCCCAAAAGTGCGTGGCCAAAGCACACCATGGAGCTGGCGAGTTGTGAGCTATGTACGACGGGCAGCTGACCCAACACAACAACAAAGGTCACCACCGCGGACGCGCGAAATCTTTAACCCCCCCCCCCCCCCCCCCCCCCAGGGTTCTTGGGTTTAGGGTTTAGGGTTTAGGGTTTGACCAAATGGAAGTGATGAGGGGCACGTTGCTCTCGAGGGGGTTTGGGGTTTCAGGTTTAGGGTTGATAGGGTTCAGGTCTTCTCAAACCCTAAACCCTAAACGCCCTAAACCTAAGCCCTAAGCCCTAAACCCGAGCTTCAGCCGCGGGCGGGAGGAGACCCCTGGGCGGCAGCGGCAGAGATGCCCCGCAGCAAAGGCAAGGAGAAAGGCGGCCGAAAGCAGTTTGGGGTTTGGGGGTTTTGGGTCTTTGGGATTTTGGAGTTTCAGGGTTTTGGAGCTTTGAGGTTTGAGGGTAGTGTTTAGGTTTCCAGGTGTGAGGGTTTTCGGGTTTTGGGTTTTCAGGGTTCTAAGGGTTCTAGGGTTTTGGGGTTTTAGGGTTTTAGGGTTTTTGGGTTTTGAGGTATTTGGGGTAGTGTTTTGGGTTCCCTAAGCCCCAGCCAGAAACTCAGCTCCCCCCATGATCGCATCCAAACGCCGGCTCGCCCACAAAGTCCTTAAAGGAGTTGGTGCCTTTGCTTGGGGTCTTACCGTGCTCAGGGCAATACTTGCATGCGGATATCTGCAAGCTCCTGCAAGGGTCCGGGGCAAATTTGCAAGGCATTTACTTGGGCGAACTGCAGGATTCGAGTTCATTGGCGGTTTAGGGTTTGGGGTTTGGGGTTTAGGGTTTAGGGTGAGATTTAGGTCCTTGCTCAGGATGTCTCTTGCCTGTGGTGCTTCGCTACAGCCCTGAGCCACAGGCACCAAAATGTCAAAACACCCTGCCAAGTGCTTCTATGACCCAGAGGCCCTTGTTGCGTTGTTCCCTTCATTTCCCGTAGAGTCCCCTTTGAACCCAAAAGGGTAGCCTTGTTATTCCTAGGTGACTCCTGGGTCTAGGCTTCGAAGGCGACGGTGCTTCTTGCGGCATATGCTCCCGAGGCAGCAGCCTGCCTAATGGTTGTGTTCCCTTCTGAAAGCCATCACAACCACAACAAGGGTTCCGGTGTTACTGCAACGCTAACTCCAAACCCTAAACCCCAAACCCTAAACCCCAAACCCTAAACCCTAAACCCTAAACCACAAACCCTAAACCCTAAACCCTAAACCCTAAACCTCAGCTGGACACACAGATGGCAGCATGGGCAGGCAAGGGCAAAGCCGCCGCGGAGAGGGAGCAGAAAGGTGCCACTCCAGGGCACACCGGGTTTTTGGGGTTTGGGGTCTAGGTTTTCAGGGTTTTAGGGCTTAGTGTTTAGGGTTTAGGGTTTAGGGGGCTTAGCCCTAAACCCTAAACCCTAAACCCTAAACCCTAAACCCTAAACCCTAAACCCTAAACCCTAAACCCTAAACCCTAAACCCTAAACCCTAAACCCTAAACCCTAAACCCTAAACCCTAAACCCTAAACCTTTACATTTTCAGGGTTTTAGGTGTTTAAGGTTCCAGTCCAGGGCACTTCGGGTTGCAGGGTTTAGGGTTTAGGCTGTCAGGGTTTTAGGGCTTAGGGATTTAGGGTTTCGGGTTTCAGGGCGGCCTTGGAAGTGGAAGTGCCAAACCCTCAAGCAACGAGCTCTAACATCCAATTCTGCAGTGCAGGACGAAGCTCGCAGTCCTCATCCGGCACCCTAAAACCGAAACCCTAAACCCTAAACCCTAAACCCTAAACCCTAAACCCTAAACCCTAAACCCCCACCCCCAAAAAAACAGAAACCGTGCAGACACTCTGACAACACGTTGGGCGCCGGGGGGGCGGGTTTAAACCGTAATCCCTAAACCGAAACCCAGAACTTCAACCCGCAATCCGTGCCGCAGGGCTACCCTACGGGAGGTTTTAGGGTTAGGGTTCAGGGTTTAGGGTTTAGGAGTCCTCTTGGACGCTATAAGTTCAGACTGTAGGCCGCGCCCAATAAGTCGTTCACATACAAGTGCTGGGTCTTCGTGCTGAGCCTTCGAGCATTTTGCCTTTGACATGTTTGAGCTGGATAAACCCGGACTGGGGCGACACAATTTGCTGGCCTGGAGACATTCACAGTCAATCCGCTCGCCACCTCACGTATGTGTGATTGAAATGATGCTCTTGGGCAAGTGGGTGGGACCCACGAAAAGCCGGGCACAGCCGGCGGTTTTGAAGGCTCTGTGATGGCATCCTGACACAACGAACCCCTCTGGGGCACGGATCTGCCCTTGTGACGGTGGCAAACCAAAAGGGGAAGTGCCTCTTGAAACGCTCTGGCACGCAGAAGCAAAAAGAAGTAGAACCTGAATTCCTAGCATCCTGTGGGTGGTCAGCTATGACCCTGTGGATACTGAGTGAACAGTGAAGAGACTTGTTTCTCGTTCCTTGTAAGTAGGGCCTACAGGGTCGAGGGCTCAAACCCCTGACGCTCAGGCAGCAAAGCAAAGGGAAAAGACAAGACCGCGCCTGCCAGCCAGCGAGACGACCCAGGCTGACGCATCTTCACCTACAGAGCTAAGCGCCTTTATAAGCCCCTACTGCCTAAACCCTGGACCCTAAACTCTTTGTCGTTTTCAGGTTTCCCTAAACCCGAAACCCTAAACCCTAAGCCCTAAACTAAACCCTAAACCCCAAACCCCAAACCCCAAACCCTAAACCCATCTGGGCATCCGAGCTGACTTCTTCTGAGAAGTGTGGCGTGAGGTTAGCAGTTTCATCATCGGCTCAAGGGTGGTGTGAGGGTGCCAGAAGCCTGCCCCGCGACTCTGGATGTCTGACCCCCTTGCAAACCCTAAACCCTAAACCCTAAACCCTAAACCCTAAACCCTAAACCCTAAACCCTAAACCCTAAGCTGTAGTCCGAGTCTCGGACGGAAGGGCTGGGAGCGGAAGCTCGCCAACCCACGAGCCCACTGTTTCCCTCGTTCCTAAGTCCTACATCCTCAATCAATCCTAAACCCTAAACCCTCTTTTGTTATTGCACGTACTTCCGAAGGTTTCCCAAGCTCCCACGCCTCCCCCTTGGGTTTAGGGCCGGGAATCTGGGATCTTCCCCCTTATACTAGCAGTTTTCTAGTAGGGATTGTAATTGTAGTAGGGGGTACTGAATCCCTATGACAATGAAGGACGGTTACGGGGGAACATCCCAATCCGGAATCTTTAAGTTTAGGGTGTAGCGTCTGCCCCAAATCGCCCTAAACCCTAAACCCTAAACCCTCAACCCTAAACCCTAAGCTTACGTGCGAGTTCTGAGTCTTTGAAGTATAGGTTGCCCTGACGTTTTTGGGTCAGTCGAACTCCTAGAGCTGGCGTTGGGTTGAGGCAAAGAGAAGGGTTTACGGTTTAGGGTTTCGGGTTTAGGCTTTAGGCGTTTTCGTCCTAGGTTACTGGGCAGCCTAGCAAAGGTTAACCTTCCCCTTTTGATGCTGCACGAGTAAGGCCAGAGCCTCTCCGATGCCCAATCCGCGCGAATCCCTGGAATGGTAGCACTTTGCAAGGACCTGCACCGTGCTGCAACGAAAACCAATTTAGGGTTTCAGGTTTCGGGTTTAGGGCTAAAGCCCCTGACCCTCAGGCAGCAAAGGAAAAGGAAAAGGCAAGACCGCGCCTGCCGGCCAGCAAGACGATGCAGGCCGACTCTTTTTAACTGCGTCCGGGATAGCCGGGGCGTCTGTTTTACAGGGCTAGGTGCCATTAGAAGCCTTTTGCACTTTGCGGAGTCTGATCTGAGCCCTAAAGGCGGTGAACCCTAAACCCTAAACCCTAGACTCTAGACCCTAGACCCTAAACCCTAAACCCTAGACCCTAAACCCTAAACCCTAAACCCTAAACCCTAGTTCTTTCTAAGGGTCCTTTCTGGGGCCATGATCCTTGCGCAGGCTTTGATCCTTGGGCCACGCCAGAAGCCCAGCGGGCCCGAGAGAAGATGCAGCAGAAGGCAGCCTTGAACGTGCAGGGTTTTAGGGTTTAGGGTTTGGGGTTTGGGCTTAGGGTTTAGGGTTTAGGGTTTAGGGTTAGGGCGTTATAGCTCAAGGGCGAAGGGGTTTTGAGTTGAGTTTCAATATGGGCATCTCTTTTTTTTAACCTCGCCGTCCTTTTTTTGACCTCGTGTCTTTATTTCAACCTCGTCATCTGGATTTGAACCTCGCCCCTTTTCCAGTCTTCTTTTTGACCTTACCCCGTCTGATGTTTAACCTCGTCTATCTTAATTTCCTCTCTGCGGCTTATTTCCCCAGGCAGAGAGAATCTTAAAACCAACCTCGGAAATCTGATTTCCAACCTCGTCTGTCTCATTTCCAACCTCGTCCGTCTTATTTAAAACCTCGCCGAAGGCATGGTCCCACAAGGCCCAGCCCGGCTGGCCGGCCCAGCCAGAATGAAGGGCGGAAGGGCTTTTTTGCTTAAGGGCTCAGGGTTACCGCCCCCCTCGCCCCTCGCACACGTCACCATTCCCCCGCACCCACCGTTCCCGCCATTTCCCACCATCACCCCACCATTTCTCGCCATTTCCCACCATTTCCCAACACCATTACCGCCAATACCCACCCTTACCCACCATTCCCACCATTACCCATAAATACCCACCGTGCCCACCATTAGCCACCCTTCCCACCATTACGTGGCGCTGGTGGGTAATGCAAGGGTGGGTACTGGCGGGTAATCGTGGGGTGGGCAATGGTGGGTAATGGTGGGCAATGGTGGGTAATGGTGGGCAATGGTGGGAATGGTGGGTAATCGTGGGAAGGGTGTGGCGCGCTGGGAATGGTGGCTAGAATGGTGGGAGTTGTGGGTCATGGTGGGCCACGGTGGGTGGGCGATGGCGGGAATGGTGGGTAAGGGTGGGTAATGGTGGGCACTGCTGCGTAATGTAGGCAATGATGGTGTGCTGCAATACCCACCATCCGCACCCTTGTCCACCATTACCCACCAACACCCACCATTCTCACCCAAACCATTGCCAACCGCCATTCCAAACCACCGCCGCCGTTACCCGATGACCCGAACCCACCATTCCCACCATTGTCTACCATTCCCGCCAGTCCCACCAAACCAATCACTACCCGCAATACCCACCATTACCCACCACCAGCCGTTCTGCACCATTGCCCACCCTTGCCCACCATTCTCGCCGTTACCCGCCGTCCCACCACGACCCACCATTGCCCACCAATCACCCACCCTCCACCATTACCCACCATCTCCCTCCCTGCCCGCGATTCCCCCTTCCCACCATGATTAAACCACTACCCGCCATTCATTCCCCGCACCCACATGTACCGCAAGTAACGTCGGGTAATGGTGGAATGTTGGGGGTTGGTGGGATGGTGGGAATGGTGGGTAGTGGTGGGCAATGGTGGGGAATGGTGGGTATAATGGTGGGTCAATGGTGGAAATGGTGTTTAATGGTGGGCAATGTTGGGAACGGTGGTTGATTGTGGTGTTGGTGGGTACTCGAAGGTACTCAATAATGGTGCGTAATGGTGGGAAATTAATGGTGGGTAGGGATGTAATTGTGGGTCATGGTGGCAAGGGGGAATCGTGGGAACAGTGGGCAACGGTGGGCGATGGTGGGTAATGGCGGGAATCATGGAGAGCGGTGCGTGTGCGGGCGATGGGAAGGGTGGCTAATGGTGGGTAGGGGTGGATAACGGTGGGTATTTATGGGTAAGGGAATGGTGGGTATTGGTGGGTAATGTTGAGGAATGGTGGGACATGGTGAGAATGTGGGTGATGGTGGGAAATGGTGGGTGCTGGTGGGAAAGAATGTTGGGCAATGGTGGGTAAAGATGTTAATGGTGGGACTGGCGGGAATGGTAGGCAACGGATGGCAACGGTGGGAATGGGGGGAATGGCGAGTAATGGTGGGTAATGTTGGGTAAGGGTGGGTCATCGTGGATTGGTAATGGAGGGCCTATTTGTTTGGGTCTTTTTTTTGGGGGGGGCCTTTTTTTTTTGGTCGATTTTCTTGGATTTTCCTAAGAAAACCACTATTCCCTCCATATTTTTAAAGGATTTGATGCATTTTCGTGGTTTTTCGTACGAAAAACAGTAATTCCTCTGTGGTTTCATAGGAAAGCTCTATTTCTGGTAGGTTTTAGAAGGAAGAAGGAAAGAAAGGACGGAAGGAAGGATGAAAGAAAGGAAGAAAACAAGGAAGGAAGGAAGGAAGGAAGGAAGAAAGGAGGGAAGGAAGAAAGGAAGCCGTACCAAGCGTGCTTCAAAGCCCAAGAAACTAGTTGAAAAGCATCGTGTGAGCATTGTGTTTGCAAATCGCAGCCCCCCCCCCAACCCCCCGCTTTTTTTCTTTTTTTAAGCCGTGCAGAGCGCGCTTCAAAGCCCAAGAAACTTGTTGACACCCATCATGTGAGCAGGGTGTTTGCAAATGGGGGGGGGCTGCGCCCCCCCCCCAACCCCCCCGCTTCTTTTTAAGCCGTACCAAGCGTGCTTCAAAGCCCAAGGGCAGCCCAAGAAACTAGTTGAAAAACATCGTGTGAGCATTGCAAATGGGGGGGGCTGCGCCCCCCCCAACCCCCCCGCTTTTTTTCAGCCAAAGCGCAAGAAAGTAGTTGAAACCCATCATGTGAGCAGGGTGTTTGCAAATGGGGGGCACAGCCCCCCCAACCCCCCCGCTTCTTTTAAGCTGTACCAAGCGTGCTTCAAAGCCCAGAAACTAGTTGAAAAACATCGTGTGTGCATTGTGTTTGCAAATGGGGGGGGCTGCGCCCCCCCCAACCCCCCCGCGTTTTTTTTAAAGCCGTGCAGAGCGTGCTTCAAAGCCCAAGAAACTTGTTGACACCCATCATGTGAGCAGGGTGTTTGCAAATGGGGCTGGGGCTGCGCCCCCCCCAACCCCCCCCCGCTTTTTTTAAGCCGTACCAAGCGTGCTTCAAAGCCCAAGAAACTAGTTGAAAAACATCGTGTGAGCATTGTGTTTGCAAATGGGGGGGGCTGCGCCCCCCCCCAACCCCCCCGCTTTTTTAAGCCGTGCAGAGCGCGCTTCAAAGCCCAAGAAACTTGTTGACACCCATCATGTGAGCAGGGTGCTTGCAAATGGGGGGCGCAGACCCCCCAACCCCCCCCCCCACTTCTTTTAAGCCGTTCAAAGCCCAAGAAACTAGTTGAAAAACATCGTGTGAGCATTGTGTTTGCAAATTGGGGGGGCTGCGCCCCCCCCCCAACCCCCCCGCTTTTTTTTTAAAGCCGTGCAGAGCGCGCTTCAAAGCCCAAGAAACTTGTTGACACCCATCATGTGAGCAGGGTGTTTGCAAATGGGGGGGGGGCTGCGCCCCCCCCCAACCCCCCCCGCTTCTTTTAAGCCGTACCAAGCGTGCTTCAAAGCCCAAGAAACTAGTTGAAAAACATCGTGTGAGCATTGCAAATGGGGGGGGCTGCGCCCCCCCCAACCCCCCCGCTTTTTTCAGCCAAAGCGCAAGAAAGTAGTTGAAACCCATCATGTGGCTGCGCCCCCCCCCCAACCCCCCCGCCTCTTTTTTGTTTGAGCCGTGCAGAGCGTGCTTTCAATCCAAGAGGTGTTGCAAGTGGGGGGGGGCTGCGCCCCCCGCCCCCCCCCCCAACCCCCCCCGCTTCTTTTAAGCCGTACCAAGCGTGCTTCAAAGCCCAAGAAACAAAGGAAATGACAGGATATCTGTCCAAAATGTAAGTAAAATAGGGTTTTCCCCCTAGGAAAAACCAAGGAAAACCTAAGGGAAATTACAGGAAATCCGTCCAAAATGTAAAAAAAAATAGGTTTTTCCCTATGATAAACCAACGAAAACCTAAGGGAAATGACAGAAAATCCGTCCAAAATGTAAGGAAAGTAGGGTTTTTTCCTAGAGAAAACCAAGAAAATCGACCAAGAAAAAAAAGGCCCAAAAAAAAAAGACCCAAAAAAAAACTCCACCCATTGGTAATGGTGGGAATGGTGGGAATGGTGGCTAGTGGTGCAAGGTGGGTAAAGGTGGGTAAGGGGGGAGTAGTGGGTATGCTGTTGGAAAAGGTGGGAACGGTGAGAGTGGTGGGTAATGTTGGACATGGTGGGATATGGTGGGTGATTATGGGAAATGGTGGGAATGGTGGGAAGCCCTCACCCGCCATTACCCACCATTCTCACCGCTACCATTGCCCACCATTCCAACCATTGCCTACCATATCAGTTTCCCGCCATTCCTATACCGTTACCAACCATTACCCACAATTACCCACCAATACCCTCCCACCGTTACCCATCAGTCCCATCTTTACCCACCATGACCCACCGTACCCACCATGCCCACCAGTTCTCTCCATTACCCAACACCATTACCCGCCAGTACCCACCATTCCCACCATTCCCACCATACCCACCATTACCCGCCATTGCCCGCCATTGCCACCGCTACCAATAAATACCCACCATTATCCACTATTGCCCGCCATTTGATACTCTTCCCACCATTACCCACTATTACCCACCAGTGCCCACCAGTATCGACCTACCCACCATTACCCACCACGACCCAACATCGCCCGCCTTTCCCACCATCCCACCATTCCCCAACATTCCACCATTACCCGACATTACACCCACCATTCCCACCTTTCACGCTATTACCCACTCCCCCTTACCCACCATCACCCACCATTCCCACCACTAGCATTGCCCACCGACTACTCCCCCCTTACCCGCCTTTACCCACCATTCGCAGCATGACCCACCATTCCCACAGCCTTAACCACCCTTACCACCATTGCCTACCATTCCCACCATTGCCTACCATTCCCGACAGTCCCACAATGAACATCTTTCACCATTCCCACCACACGAGCCAGCATTCCCACCAGCACCCACGAGAACCCACCATCACCCACCACTTCTCACCATTTCCCACCATTACCCAACACCATTTCCCACCAATGCCCACCATTCCCACCATTACGCATAAATACCCGCCGTTATCCACCACTGCCCACATTCGCCACCCTTCGCACCATTACGCACCGTTACCCACCTGTATCGACCATTGCCACGATTACCCACAATTCCACCATTCCCGCCAATACCAACTCTTACCCACAATGCCCACCATCACCCGCCATCCTCGAAAATGTATTCACCACACCGTTCTCCACGATTCCCGCCGTTGCTCATCAATGCCCACCATTCCCGCCATTACCCCCCATCGGCCACCGGTGCCCCACCATTCCCACGATTCCCCCTTCCCACCATGACCCACCATGACATCACTACTCACCATTAATTACTGAACCCACCTGTACGCACCATTATTGAATACCTACGATTTCTCGCCGCCACAATCAAGCGCCGCTCCCAACATTGCCCACTATTAAACACCATGTCCTACCATGACTCACAATTTACGCCTTTTACCCACGATTACCCACCAATCCCCACCATTACCCACCACATCCCACCATTACCCACCATTCCCACCATTCCCCAACATTCCGACATTACCCACCATTCCCACCTTTCACACCGTTATCCAGGACTCCCCCTTACTCACCATTCCTACCATTGCCTACCACTTCCCACCAGTCCCACCATTGCCTACCATTTCCCACCATTACCACCGTTACCAACCCTTACCCACAATTACTCACCATTACCCACCATCCCCACTATTAGCCACCGTTCACATTCCCACCAATACGCAATCCCATCATTACACCATTGCCCACCAATACGCGCCATGACACATCATGACACGCCGTTGCCAACCATGACTCACCATCACCCACCATTGCCCACGGGAGGGGCGTTTCTTTCAGTAGGGTTCCCAACAAGATGTGCTCATGACCTTCAAGTCCCATTTCAGAAGCATTTTTTTTTGAAACCCCGACTCTGAATGGTGGCTCGTTCGTTTAGGGTTTGGGGTTTTTGGGGTTTAGGGTTTAGGGTTTAGGGTCGGGGAGGTGGGTGGTGGTTAGACCCTGAACCCTTGAACCCCAAACTCTAAGCAGCAGCTTTACAAGGCGAAGGAAGAGAAAGAGGAGCCACGCGACTGACAACCTGTTGAAAGTTGAAGGATGGCATTCATCTCAAGTAACGGTTTAGGGTCTAGGGTTTAGGGTTTAGGGTTTAGGGTTTAGGGTTTTGGCTGAAGGCTTGTTTCAGTTTACTGGGTAGTTCCCTATATCAGCTCCCTTTTGGGGCCTTAAAAAGGACCCCCCAAGAGGGGCCTTATGGCACACCTTAAGTCACTTCCGCACTTCTCGTGACAGTCAGTTTTTGCCTTGTAGGAACCCCAAAATCCTGCTTTCGGGTCTTACCCTAGCCCCTATACTCTAGGCCCTAAAGTTTTCCTTCTTCAGGGGTTTTCTCAGCCGCCTGAGGATTCGGTCAGCCAGGTGCTAGTCTCCCTGTCGTTCGGATGCCGGACGGTATTTTTTTGGGATTTTAGGGTGCTGGGGGTTTGAAGAGTTTACGTCAGTTTTTTTTTTGTAATCTGGGTTAGCTTGGGCTCTTTAGGGTTTATGGCCTTGGTTTAGTCCAAGCCTTTCCCCGAAGGCCCTACACTGCAAAACAAACCTTAATGCCGTAGTCCTTCTGGGCCCGAGGCCCTCCTGGAAACCCCTTCCTAAAATGCTAGAAATAACAATTGTTATACTTGTTGTGACGTCATTCGTACCTTAAATAGTTGATAAATGTATGATTAGATAAAAATTTAATGTATATTATACATACCAGTACTGTGTTTGTCTTTGTTTTAGCTAGAAAAACACATGCACCCTACACCTTGCAACCTTTTCTTCGGTGTTGAGGTTTGGGGTTTCGGGCCTCAGCCGTCAGCAGTAAACCCTAAACCCTAAACCCTGTACCCTTTATGCGCTGAGCCCCTGCAGCCCCTTGCAGCTGGACCCTAAACCCTAAACCCTAAACCCTAAACCCTAAACCCTAAACCCTAAACCCTAAACCCTAAACCCTAAACCCTAAACCCTAAACCCCCCAAGCTCAGGGTCTGGGGCAAGTGGCGCGACGCCGGGAAGCCAGGCCAGTCAGAACCCTAAACCCCAAACCCGAAATCCTAAACCCTAATTCCAAAAAACCTAAACCCTAAATCCTAAACCCTAAATCCTAATCAAACCCTAAACCGAGTTCCCTCGGGGTCTAGGGTTTAGGGTTGATGTTGTGGACGGAGGCTTCGGGTCAACCCTAAACGCTGAACTCCTCCTCCCCCCGCTCTGCCTGCCCTGGACTCCTTCACCTGCACACAGCCCTAGAGGGTTTAGGGTTTACGGTCTAGGGTCTGGGTAGGGTTTAGGGTTTAGGGTTTAGGGTTTGGGGTTTGGGGTTTGGGGTTTGGGGTTTGGGGTTTGGGGTTTGGGGTTTGGGGTTTGGGGTTTGGGGTTTGGGGTTTGGGGTTTGTCCAAGGATGCTGGGTGCCTTTCGGGTGACTTCATCAGCCTATTCAATTGCCAACTAGTTCATGTCTACCTATGCTTCCAGAGCCTCTGCGTTGCGGGCCACCGTGGCGACCTGACGCGTGCGCGACAAGGGGATTGTGAGACGCCTCAAATCGCAACATTTGCGACCTCAAGCGTCTGTGCGTTTTTTTGGTCTGCAAAGGCAGTAACTGCAACTGAGTAGGTCATGTTCTGAACCTTCTTGAATCGAAGTCCCCTTCCACATTGTTCTAGGCAGGCTAATGAAACTAGGGTTTCACATGGCTTGTGTTTGAACCCAAAGATTTGAAAACTAGTCTGTAAAGACAGTCCGTTTCTGAACCCCCCTAGCAAGGAGGGCTTTCTAAGATTGCAGCGCCCAAACATAGCCAGCACTTGATCTTTACACTTCTTGGGTTTCCTCACGTAGTAGGAAATTCAAAGAACCGTGTTTCCCCTTATTGCCGAAGTACGTGCATGGCATCGTAGCCCGCAAAGCAGCCAGCATTTGGGGAATGCTGGCTTTGATGATGAGCCAAGTGTCACGCTCGGGCTGCACAGAGAGGTTGATGAGGAAGACACTTATCAAAGCTCTATATCAAAACCCGACCTGGCCCTATACCATATTCTATAACCTCATAGAAAGCTTCTGCGTTTCGCGGCCTCCAAATCTCCGCCCTAGCCGCGAGAAACCCTAAACCCTGAGCCCCTAAACCCTTCAGCCCTGAATCCTATGAAAAATTCCGAGCCCAAACTCTTGAGCCTGGCCAGGCGTCGGGTTGGAACCCGGCACGCCAGCGGTGGATAAGAAGAAGCTGCTGGAAGCCAGGGGCCCGTGTTGCCTTGGATGTATGTGAGCTGCTTCGTTTTTTTTTTTTTTTTTTGGGGGGGGGGGGGGGCTTTCAGGAGTTTGGGATGATGTTGGGGCTGTAGGGCTCACGGTGTCTATTTTCTGTCTATTTTCCGGTGTTTCAGTGGCCTAGACACCAATTTAGATCCCCCCCCTATAAAACCACTTCGAACCCTAAACGCTTTAAGCGATACATCCGGAACCTATATTTCAAGGAAAGGCTACGCCCCCCCCCCCCCCCCCCCCCCCCCTCCCCCCACACCGCTTTAAGACACTACATCGGGAGCCTAAACATGAACCCTAAGTTTGCATCCACAATGAGTTTACTTTCAACGCCTTTAGGGAGGTCACTGCCATTGCTAAAACCACGTTTTTGTATGCATGTCTACCGTCTAATGTTGTACCTGGTTTTGTGGGGGCCGCCTGTATAAAGTCAATTTGGCTGGGTTATTCAGGACACCCTGACTGTTTGGGGGTGCGTGGTGGGATCCTGAATAAATGCAAACCGTCCGGGCGCCGTAAGAAAATTCCACGTGGCGCGTCTTGAAAAAAGATTGCCGGGCATCGATGCCCCCTTTAAACTTATTTAAACTTATCTAAACTCCTCCCTATTAAAATCATATAAACCCCCGGGAGCGTCTAAACAGGGACAAACCCTAAACCCTAAACCCTAAACCCTAAACCCTAAACCCTAAACCCTAAACCCTAAACCCTAAACCCTAAACCCTAAGCATGCGGAGGCCGTCTTGGCACGGAAAAAGGCTGTCGAGGCAGCTGCGGCCCTGGAGTGGTTTGGGGTTTAGGGTCTGGGGTTTAGGATTTAGGTTTCGGGTTTAGGGTTTAGGGTTTAGGGTTTAGGGTTTAGGGTTTAGGATTTAGGGTTTGGGGTTTGGGGTTTGGGGTTCAGGGTTTACATAGGTTTAGGGTTTGGGGTTGCGGGTTTTGGCTTTAGGGCGTCAACATGTGCAGCATTTTTGTTTTTTGTTTGGGGAGGGGGGGGGGCCCTATAGCATACCTAAAAAAAGGCTGCGTAGGGGGATATTTAATGTACCGACCTTCAAATTACCACGTCTCATGCCTCAAAAGGTGTTTTGCAGGGGAATATGGGGCTTTCCGAAATGGGGGGGGTACCTTAATGGGGTCCGTATTATAAGGGAATCCCACTATTTGGGACCTATTTTCGTAAACCCCATATGTATGTCCGGGCTCGATTCTCGGGAGCCTAGTCATTGCCTGAACCCTACACCCTAAACCCTGAAACCTAACCTTTCACCCCAAACCCTAAACCCTAAACCCTAAAACCTAAACCCTAAACCCTAAACCCTAAACCCTAAACCCTAAACCCTAAACCCTAAACCCTAAACCCTAAACCCTAAACCCTAAACCCTAAACCCTAAACCGAAACTCTACACCTTGGCCTCGCTTCTTGGAAGCTTTGCAAAAGTTTAGGGTTTAGGGTTTAGGCTTTAGGGTTTAGGGTTTAGGGTATAGGGTTTAGGGTTTAGGGCTTAGGGTTTAGGGTTTAGGCCCGTGGGAGATGTTCATATTTTTCTCTCACTGGGCTTAAGAGGTTTTTTTGGGGGGGCGAGTTTTTTTCAGAGCCCTAAGCCCGAAACCCCAAACCGATAAGGGTGAAGCCACAATTCCCTCGCACCGGGAGGCGAGGGGATCACTCGACTCAAACTCTTAGGGTTTAGGGTTTAGGAGTTTAGGGTTCAGGGTTTAGGGTTTAGGGTTTAGGGATACCCCTGAACCCTGAACCCTTAACCCTAGTAGTGCTCTAAGCTAGAGCCCTTTTTTGGGGCCCCCTTCTGAAATTCGGCAGCCTTTTTCATCGGGACTCGGGGACCCTTGAGAGAACTCATACCCACGAAGACATTCCTGCAGACTCCACCTTTGCGCAGGCAAAAAGGGTGGAGGCAGGGGCGCTCAAGGGTTCAGGGTTTCAGGGTTTTAGGGTTTTAGGGTTTTAGGGTTTTAGGGTTGTAGGGTTTTAGGATTTTAGGGTTTTAGGGTTTTAGGGTTTTAGGGTTTTAGGGTTTTAGGGTCTAGGGTCTAGGGTTCAGGTGTGGGCTTAGGGTTTGGGGTTTAGGGCTGAGGGTTTGGAGGTTTAGGGTTCACGGGTTGAGGGTGTAGGGTTTGGGGTTTAGGGTTTAGGGTCAAACCGTACTAAACCCAAAACTTATCTTCGGAGAGGTAGGTCATCTGCAGTTGGTAACATGTTTAGGTTTTAGGGTTCAGGGTTCAGGGTTCAGGGTTCAGGATTTAGGGTTTAGGGTTTAGGGTTTACCCTAAACCCTAGACCCGAAGCAACCAAAAAGATGCACCTTGGGGGTTCAGTAGGTAAACTTGTGAAACCTAATTTCTGACTCCTAGCCCCATATGAAGCCCTAAGCCCTAAGCCCTACACCCTAAACCCTAAACCTTAAACCCCCAACCATAAACCAACCAAAAAAAACTAAACCTTAAACCGCAAACTACTCCTCCTGCAAGCCCTAAACCCTTACACCATAACCCTAAACCTTAAACTCTAAACTACCACCCCCTCCAAAAAGTAGTAAGAATGATAATCGTGAGAACTTAAACCCTCAAATACCACCCCCTCCAAAACCAACAAAAACATCAAAACCAATAATAAGAAGAGGACCCTAACCCTAAACCTTAAACCCTAACCTACCACAATGATAATAATAATAATAAGAAGAAGAATAAAAATAATAGTAATACTAATAATAATAAGAATAATAATAATAGCAATAAGAATAGTAATACTAAGAAGAAGAGGAATAATAAGTCCGTAGACCGCGTCGCAGGAGCAGCGCTCTCAGCCACCGGAGCCGACTCAAGAGGAGACCGGTGTAGGGGTTTAGGGTTTAGGGTTTAGGGTTTAGGGTTTAGGGTTTAGGGTTTAGGGTTTAGGGTTTAGGGTTTAGGGTTTAGGGGGTTCAGGCTTTAGGGATTGAGGTGTTAGGGTTTTTCTCGCAGGCTACAGGCTATAGGGTTCAGGGCTACAGGGGCTTTAGGTCTTGTGGGGTTTAGCGGTCGGGCTTTAGAGGTTAGGGCTGTAAAGTTGAGGGTTTAGGGTTATCGGGTTTCGGGGTTTCGGGAATTAGGGTGTTTTAGGGTGTACGTAGGGTTTTGGGGAGGGCATGATAGTGTTGGGTTTTCAAGGGCAGTGTAGGGCATTCGGGTCTAGGGCTTCGGGGTTTGAGGGTTTAGGACGTAGGTTCAGGATTTTGGTGTGATTGAGGGGCTTAGGGTTTTTGGGGTATTCATGGTTTTTCGGATTTTGGTGCTTCAGGGTTCCATATACCCCTCCTAAGTGAACGGTCCATGTACCCGAGTAGGAATGAGACTTCATTAAACCCCCCGACCTTTTTTGTACAACGCTTGCCACCCTGATGGAAGCCTTGCGAATAGAATATATGGCCCTAAACCCCAGACCTCAAACCCTAAATCCTAAGCTCTAAACCACTAACCCTAAACCCTAAACCCTGCACATCCTAAACCCAAAACCCTTAGGTAAGCCATCCCAGGAGAGGCCCCCGGCACCTCCCGTGCCTCCCAGTGTGGAGGAGGAGTTTAATTAGGGTTGAGGGCTGAGAGTTTACGGTTTAGGTTTTTAGGGTTTAGGGTGTCAGGGTTTAGGGCTTTGGGTTCCGGGTTTAAGGCTTAGGGCTTAGGAACCCTAAACAGGTGCTCTGCTTGGGGATTCGGGGAGAACGCGTGTGGGGGTTTAGCGTTCAGGGCCATAGGGCCTGCATCCTCGACCCTAAACCCGAACGCCCCATCAATCCTGGACCCTTGACTGAAGGCCCCTAGGTGCTTTAGAAGCCTAGCCTGAAAGTCTAGAGCCTCTGAGTGCCTTTAGTTTAGGGTTGAGGGTTTAGGGTTAAGGGTTGACTTTCAAATAGATGTTTCAAAGTGGCCCTAGTCCCTATCTAAACCCACTTTTTCAACAGCCCCCTCCCCCCCCCCCAAAAAAAAAACACAAAAACACCCAACCTCAGTCTATTCTGAGGGTTTAGGGCTTAGGGTTTAGGCAATTGCGGGTTTTGGGGTCTTGGGGGGGCGGGGCGGTTGGGGGTCCAGGGTTTAGGGTCCCAACACGTCCGGTGTAGGGGTTAGGGTTTGGGCTTCCTTCCCGAGAGGTAAGTAGAAGGGTTCTTAAACCTAGTGGCCGAAACCTGATGCTACCCCCCCCCACCCTCCCAAAAAAAAACAAGCAATATAATCATCCCTATATTGCCCTTACAAGAAAGAATTTGTTTTTGTTGTTTCGGGGGTTCGGAAGCAATGGGGCTTAGGGTAGTGTACCCTAAATAGGGAAGAGCTTTACTTCTTTCTTACGAGTTCATGGTTTCCTGTCCACAGGTTCCCCTAAGACTCAGCTAAGCCAACACGTGCACCTGGTTTTACCCTAAACCCTAAACCCTAAACCCTAAACCCTAAACCCTAAACCCTAAACCCTAAACCCTAAACCCTAAACCCTAAACCCTAAACCCTAAGTAGAAGTCCCCGTGCGCCTCCAAGTAGGGAGCCGTCGCGGGAGGACGACGACGAGGTTTTCTGGAGCACCGAAGGCGACTTCCGCCCACACGCGAAGCTCCGAAGTTTAGGGTTTAGGGTTTAGGGTTTAGGGTTTCGGGTTTAGGGTTTAGGGTCTAGGGCCCTAAACCCTGAAACCTCAACCCCAAACCGTTTGGCGTTTAACTTGAGCAAGCGCCCAAAAAACCCGAACCGCTGAAGCTGGGAGGCTCCCTAGTTAGGGTTGTAGGGCCTTGGTGACCCAAAGCTCAGGAAAACCCTCCCTAAAGATACCTCATTTATTCCTATTACCACAGGGAACCCAGAAAGGCCCCAGGCCCCCACAGATGTCTACTTGTGGCTTATGAGGTTTAGGGCTTAGGGCTTACGAGGTTTAGTAGGGTTCGGGGTGCGTCTAGGAAGTTCTCTCGGCAAGGGTCCTTCTTGGGCTTCCGACATGCGAGGGGCCTGTAGTGAAATACAAAGGTGTTGTTATTCAGATATGCATATCTTTCGGGAGCCCAAAGCCCCTGACTTTACGCCTTAAACCCGAAGCCTCAACTAAGCTCGATTGGGTGCAGGGTTTGGGGAAAAACGGCCCTTATACGAACAGTCCTTCATAGGGATTCTAGAAGCCCGACAAGGAGCTGCTAGTATAAGGGTGAACATCCCAACCCTAAACCCTGAACCCTGAACCCTAAACCCTAAACCCTAAACCCTAAACCCTAAACCCTGAACCCCTAAAAAGGACTGTTCGTATAAGGGGGGAACATCCCAAGCCACGGCCCTCGACCTTCAACCCGACATGCATCGTAGGCACCAGCCTGGCTCCGGCTCGCAGCTCCGGTGCTTGGGCTTGCAAGTGGACCCTAAACCCTAAAGCCTAAACCCTGTAAACCCGATAAACCCGATAAACCCTATAAACCCGATAAACCCTACAACGCCTATAAACCATGTAAAGCCTATAAGCCCTATAAGCCCTATAAACCCTATAAACCCTATAAAACCTAAACCCTAAACCCTAAAATCCTAAAACCCTAAACCCTAAACTGCTGTTCAGGGTGTCGGGTTCAGAGTTCATTCCGAGGGTCTGGGGCTTAGGACTTGGAGATTATGGGTCTTTGGGCTAAGAGACTTATAGTAATTTAGAGCCTTACGATTTTCAGGGTTTTGGTTCCAGGTTTCGGCAACATAGGGTTTGATGGCCATGAAGATCGAAGCTTGAGCAGCAGTCAGCGCAGCTGGGGAGCAACCATGGCAACACTCGCCCACGAGTTTGTATTCTCGGCAACGTGCTTGTAGCATGTTGTACTCCCCAGGCTGCTCCTATACATTTTGTTGCACGTCGTCTGAGGTCCACGAGCCATTTCGGGCATGCATTATCTGCACTCCTTCCCAACTAAGCTGTCAAGAGAAGCCACCAAGCGATAGTTCACTCCCGACTACACAAGCTTCACGGCCTGCTTGTGCTTTCGGGGCACTACCAAATGCCACCATTACGATGCCAGCAGGCACAGTCGCCTTTCCTAAATGCCTCACGCGCCCTTTGCACTGGTGGAGAATATTACTAGTCCGGCTGAGGGCTACGAACTAGCAGAGGTAGAGGTCGCGGTTCAGACTCAGGAGGAGGCCATTTTAAGCAAGAAGGCTCTGTGGTTTCAGCTTGTAGGGGCCTTACAGCTTTCGGGTGTATCGCCTTCGGCAGGGTTTTGTGGTTACAGGACGTTCTTCCTGGTAATCCACATGCTGACAACTAAACCCGCACCGGACCCTACCAACCCTAAACCCTACAAACTAAACCCGAAACCCTCAGCCCTCCTTGACCCTTAGGCGCTTCGGCGTCATCCAGCGCTCCGCAGCTCCAAGCACGCCGGGCCGTGACCATGAGCGCCGCGTTGGCAGGCGGTTTCGGGGTTTGTTTTTTTTTTTTTGAGGGGGGGGGGGGGTTTGGGGCATTAGCTGTAAACCCTATACCCTAAGCTCACGGTGGGTTTAGCTGATACACGTGAGCCTTGGAGCGTCCTGTGGTCCGACTGGTGGATATATCAGTACCTTGGAAGCCCTTTAGGCTTCTGTTGTAGCAGATGTTCTTCAATATAAAGTTGCAACAAAGCGCCCAGAATTTGGAAGCGCCGAGAATTCGGATCACCTTTCCCCTTTCCCAATGTATGTTAATGCAGGTGTAGAGATTGGAGCAACATAGGGGTTCTTTTTCCCTAAGCCCCAAACCCTAAACCCTAAACCCCAAACCCCAAACCCCAAACCTCAAACCTCAAACCTCAAACCTCAAACCCCAAACCCCAAACCCTAAACCCGAGCATAGGGGAGCCTGCTGCGCTAACAGGGTTTAGGGTTTTGGGTTTAGGGTTTAGGGTTTAGGGTTTAGGGTTCCAACCCAGCCGTACCATGACGCCCAGTAGTAAGTACCCTTATGGTTAGGATCCCAAACCTCAACAAGCCAGACATCTGCACCCCCTTTGAACCTAGCCCAATGGGTGCTCATTGTTTCTGAGGGTTTCGGGTTCACCCGAAGCCCTAAACCCGGGCAGGAATCGGAGCTGCCATCGCACAGCTTGCGATGGGCGACAGGAATGCCGTCGAGGAACCACTCTATCATGCCCAGTAGTGCCCTTATTCCCTTTTTGGGGGGTTTAGGTTCCCTTATAAGCCCCTTTAAGCAAAAAAAGTCACCTTTTTTAAGCCTTGTTTACTGGGCAGCCTAGAGAGATAAAGAACAAAGAGTCAAAAGAGTAACAAGCAAGAAAAGAACGGCGTGAACGGCATGAGCCAAACGTGCATGGCATCCAGGGCAGCACCCTAGGGTTTAGGGTTTAGGGTTTAGGGTTTAGGGTTTAGGGTTTAGGGTTTAGGGTTTAGGAAAACGATCAGAGTAGTAGCGCGAGCCGATGAATAATTTTACGAGACATTCTCTTGGACAGCGGGATTTGGAGCCCCCTCTAGCTGTAACCCTAAACCCTAAACCCTAAACCCTAAGCCCTAAGCCCTAAACCCTAAACCCTACTAATCCCTGAACGGGATTGATCTGGACAACTTTAAAAGTTCTGGGGACTCGAAGCCCTTCTAAACCCTAAAGCCCATAAGAGTTAGTTTTTTCAACCCTATTAACCCATAAGAATTCATTTTTTATAGGGCCCCATAACCGTAAACCCCAAACCCTACCTTAAACTCTAATTCCTCAACCCTAATTAATGATGTTCATGATGCATGACAAAGGTCGCAGCGTTCCCCCCAAACGGTGCACCAAATTGTCACTTAAGAGCAGCTTGTAAACAGCAAGTTCCTTGCGGACAAATCAATTTATGAACCCTAAAAGTGTTTGTGGTTCCTCTACCGTTCTAGGGATTGTAGTAGTTGAGGGTATGTGACCCCAATTTTCGGGTTCATTTGGTCTCCAAGGTTCTTGCAACAACATCATGTCCATTTCCTGAACCTGGCTATGACATTCTTTCATTTCAAATGGGGGGGGGAGGGGGGGCTCGCGATTGTGTTTTAAGCTCGGTTCATATTGTACTGTCGCCGTCGGTTTAGTTTGTCTATCCGCTTTAGTCAGAAGTTTCCCAGGGTTATTCTGCGAACTCAGGTCGGAATAATTACTAAGGGGCGCAACATCAACGCGCTGGAGGAGGGGGCCTGCGTCGTCAGGCGTCCCCTCCCGCCGGCAAGCTTCACCCAGTGAACCAACTTGGTACTAGGCACTAAACCCCTACACCTCAGCACCAGGAATTCAAGAATGCAATGGTGACCTCCAGCACGTACCTAGACCGCGGTAAATGAAACGAAAGCTCACTCTGATGCAGTTGCCCAGATCCCTGAATTGCAACCCCCTGTGGGCCGCACGCATCCCGCACGGACCTTTCTTTTGTCGAAGACTCACAAACACAGAAGTATCACATCAGAAAAGGTGGCTTAGGGTGCCCTAAACCCTAAACCCTAAACCTTAACCCCTAAACCCAAAACCCTAAACCCTAAACCCTAAACGTTTGGTCGCGCAAGGGTCTGTCGCGCAAGGAGCTCGCGGCGCACATCAGCGGGGCCCCGTGCGTGCCCCATGCTGCGGCCGTGGCCAGCAGTGTGGCTCCGCTGCAGAACCCCAAACTTTAAACTCGGGTTTATGGGGTTTAGGGCTAGGGTTTAGGGCTAGGGTTTAGGGTTTTGGGTTTAGGGTTTAGGGATTAGGGTTTGGGATGTTCCCCCTTATACGAACAGTCCATTGTAACAGGGTATAAATCCTATTTAAGGATTGTTAGTATAAGGGGGAACATCCCAACTTTAAACCCTTAACCAACCCCAAACCCCTTTGGGAATTTTGGGGTGTGAGTCAAGATTTAGGGTAGTGGCTGGGACTGAATGTCATGGCACTTCACCGTTGCGAAGAGTTCTGAGCTCTCTCAACCCTAAACCCCAAACCCTAAACCCTAAACCCCAAACCCTAAACTCTAAACCCTAAACCCTAACTCTTGAGAATAGCTTGGAGGGATTACCAAGCTAGGGCTGCAGAAAAGTATCTCTACTTTTTCGTGGCTTCGACTTCGGAACAAACTCATTCCTTGCAGGCGCCCCGAAGCATATGTGGTGGGTTTCCGAAAATAGGGGTACCTTTTTGGAGGGTTCCTAGAATAAGGATTCTAGGATATATTCGGGGGGGGTCCCTATTGTGGAAATTACCCAGATGGGTGTTTCCCAAAGCAGGGGTAACCCCCTTTTAAACGCCAAGCAGAATAGAATCCCCTTAAAGGGACCGGGCACCCCCCATGTTTGGGAAAACCCCCATACGGGCTTCAAAACTATGATCCCTTTTGGGGTTCCCTAACTATTGGGTGCCGTATTATAATAGGGATCCAAAAAGGGTTTAGGGTTTAGGGTTTAGGGTTTAGGGTTTTCAGAATTTTGACAGCCAACCAAATATCTTGGCGCTGCTCTTCTTGCTCGAGCTGCTTGACTTTGGCGGGAGCCTGCAGCGGGTTTTGTCCCTTGGTAGCCCAGTGGTACCCTTTTTCCTTTATATTTTTTTGGGTTCAAGGTCCCCTTATAAATTAACCACCCAAAAAAGAATGCCCTTATCATAATACAGTTTAATCAACCAAACCCAAAAATGGGTGCCCTTTTTCGAATACAGTTTAGTCAACCAAACCAAAGAATGGCTGCCCTTATTGTAATATGGGTGCCCTCATTATAATACAGTTTAACCCTAAACCCTAAACCCGAAACCCTAAACCCTAAACCCTAAACCCTAAACCCTAAACCCTAAACCCTAAACCCTAAATGGCTGCCCTTATCGTATTTTGGCTACTGGGGGCGCACCAAGGTCCTCAATCGCCATGCCAGCAGGACGTCCGAGTGCCCGCGCGCACGCATGTGAGCCGCACCCGGTGTCCGGTGCTGTGCTTGTGTGGTGTTCCGAGACCAGGCAGGTTCTTGGGATATTTTGCTCTCTTCTCTGTTGGGTTTAAGAGGAGCACCCGAAACCCTAAACCCTAAACCCTAAACCCTAAACCCTAAACCCTACGGGCCATCCTAGGAAGACTGCATGAAGCCAGACCAAGATGACCGCCGCGCGTTGTTCAAGAGGATCGCAGAGAGTTTTGGCACCAAGTTTGCCTTCTACAAGAAGGCCCCGACCTTCCTCAGGCGGGTTCTGAAAAGCAAGGGTTGAGGGTTCCGCCGAATGCCTCGGCCTTAGCTTCCTTGGGTTTAGGCTTGGGGTTTAGGGTTTAGGGTTTAGGGTTTAGGGTTTTTGGTTTAGGGTTTAGGGTGTACGGTTTAGGGTTTAGGGTTTAGGGTTTAGGGTTTAGGGTTTAGGGTTTAGGGTTTAGGGTTTACGGTTTTGGTCTAAAGTTCTGATCCTGAATTTGACCCGTCAGGTCGCTGAAGGGCACGACTAAGAAAGTTTTGCTCTTCGCAGACTGGCGAGAGGTGAAACCCATATCGGAGGGCATGAACGCAGAGCAACATGCAAATGTCTGCATGCACATCACGACCCGATGCGAGAGCTCCTACCTCAACGCGCAGAGCTGGGTGCGTGAGCACGCCAGGCACGCACGAGCAACAGGGAGCAGCCTGAACTCTGAAACGCGATATCCCGTAAGTTTGCAACCGAATTGTACTGATTGCTATGATGGCTACAGATGTGGTTGTTCGTGTTGTCAGCATTATCACACATCGTTACCATGACCGTTGTTATGATGATGATGATGATGATGATGATGATGATGATGATGATGATGATGGGGATGATGATGATGATGATATGATGATGATGATTCTGACTATTGTTATAAATACCCTTAGTGCTGCGAGTATTATTACTGATACTGCTACTGCTACTGCTATTTCTACTGCTTTTGTTTTTGCTTTTGCTTTTGCTTTTGCTTTTGCTTTTTTCTATTACTTACTATTGCTAACTACTACTGTCAGCATGATCATTACCTTCAAATTTTTTTGATTGTTTCGAATCCTTTCTTGTCATGGCTATCCTCATTCCCAACCTTATCACTGTTGACTATCATCATTTTTACCTTTGTCATCATCATCAGGAGCAGCGTCTGCTTCCAGTAGTATCTTCATTGAGCAGGGATAGATTTGAAGGCAATATGCTTGAGTGCCATAGCAATGACGTGAATGATGCTACTTACTACGATATCTACTAACACATTCCATATTAATAAACCATTTTTAAACACTAGTGAAGTTAGTTTTTGTTCATACGACCGGACTGAGGCCGGCTGTCATGGAAACCAGAAGGCTGCAGCTCGAAGAGGGGAGGGTAGCGGATCCGGGGCGGGAGGGGAGGCTACCCCACCCCTCCTCCTCTGGATCCTCTCCCATTCCACGGTCTTGTGTTCCTCTTGTCCTGCGGCTCTAGTCTTTCTCGGGTATATTCTTTTTATTCATGAACACATACGACCGCACTACAAAGCAGATGTCGAACGTGATGTTAATTCTTTTTCCATATATGTCAGGAACCTTCATGCTACACAAGATGTTGAATGCCTTGCACCGTGTTGGGTTCGTCGAACCACTTCTGGCCATGCATCTTGTGCACACCCTGCACATCTTCATCATGCCAGCCCTAAACCCTAAACCCTAAACCCTAATCCTAAACCCTAAACCCTAAACCCTAAACCTAATCCTAAACCGCGTCGAATCCTAACAGCAAGAGGTGTGGTTCACAGTGGCTCTCCGGGCGCAAAACTTGACAAAAGGTTCGTCGAACCCTTGGCGTTCGTGGGGGGGGGGGGGGGGGGGGTTGTGGGGCTTTGTGTTGCAGGCTAGGGTTTAGGGTAATTAGGGTAATGAGGGTAATGAGGGCAATGAGGGTCATTAGGGTCATTAGGGTAAATAGGGTTTAGGGTTTTCGGGTTTAGCAGGTAGATCTGCAGCAGTTGCCAAAGCATCTTTCACGGCATATTCGATGGATGCTTGATGGGCTTGCTGCTAATTTCTGGCTAATTTCTCCAAATCCCAGATCCTGCCAAAACCCGAAACCCCAAACCCTAAACTCTGATGAAGAAGAGACCCTACATATCTATTTAAATATAGATATAAACAAATCAATAATTAAATACGTATGAATATTTATATAAATAGACACATGTGTGTGTGTGCACAACATGCCATGCCGCCAACATCGGGTGTTTGGACTTGGATTTAGACGCGACACTGTATCGATTTTAGGTTTACCTTTTATCTTACCGGATGACACCTACATCGAACGTTCCGTTGGGCCGCCACGTCCTCAATAGTGAACCAGCTAAGGCACATGCCTGTAAAACTGAAGCGGAGCCAATGCAGGTGCAAGCAGGTCTCCGTTCTTGGGGAGCTTTCGCAGGAAAGTGTGCATGAGCTGGTCCGGCGCCATTGGATGAAGAGCTCTACGGAAGACAGCCCGCAAAAGCCCCAGCAGTGGCTAGTCCTGCAGCATTAATTCCACAGCCGCAAAAGACCAAGCAACCCAGAGCCATGAACCCCAAACCCTAATTACCCTAATTACCCTAATTACCCTAATTACCCTAATTATCCTAATTGCCCTAATTACCCGAATTACCCTAATTACCCTAATTACCCTAGTTACCCTAATTACCCTAATTACCCTAGTTACCCTAATTTCCCTAATCACCCTAATTACCCTAAACCCTGAACCCTGAACCCCCCCCCCCCCCCCCCCCCCTCCCCCCCCCCCCGCCCAACGCCGACAAGCGCACCTAGGATTGGTGCCGGATCCATGTCAAGCGTGGGTGAGCCTGAGCTGTTCTTTCCACAGTCTCCGCCTCTTGGACACACACAGCGCTCAACCCTCACCACCGTGAGTTGTGGTTTAGGGCCTAAACCCTAAACCCTAAACCCTAAACCCTAAAGCCTAAACCCTCTGCAGGCAAAGCAACGGCAAGGCCTCGGGGATGTCGTGGCTGTCGTACGGGAGCCTGGTAACCGCGCTCCAAGACCCCCGGAAGGCCGCAGTTGTCGAGCAAGTCCTGAAGCGACTTGGTTGAGGGTTTAGGGTTGAGGGTTGAGGGTTTAGGGTTTAGGGTTTAGGGTTTAGGGTTTGAGAGTTTCCTCTTTTTTTGAATACTTTGTTTTGTTTCGAGGCTCCCTTGTAAAGCAACACCAACCCAAACAGGGTACCCTTACTGCAAGATGGTCACCGGGCTACCAAGGCAAATCATTTTTGAAACCCGGAACGAGCCCTATGAGGATTGACCCCAACGGCTGTGAAATGGCTCTTTGGAAACGCAATCTAGGGCCGACCGCGATTTAGCGTGGCAAGCTTTTACTCCAGTCCGACTTGGCTGCTGGCTGCGTTCTGGCTTTAGCGTTTAGGGGTTGCCCAGAGGCTTCCATGCAGTACCTTTTGAGTGTAGTATAATACTCTAATCTTCTACAACCCTAAGCCGTAAACGAACGCTAAACCCGAGACCCTAAACCCTAAAACCCTAAGCCTTAAACCCAGGTAGGGATAACGGTAGCAAGCATCCCATATTCTGTGCCACCGCGCGCCAGCCTGGAGCTGGAGACGGAAGCTTCCAGGCGAATTCAATGTCAACTACTTACTGGGTTCTTAAAGTAGGGAGTAG